CGAGGTGAGAAAAGGTAGACTTGGAAAACAACCAAATGGAAATTCACAATGGTGAAAGTATGTCATTGATATAAAGTTACTATAGTTGACCTTTCAATAACATAGGTGTGAACTTCATGAGTCCACTTATCCGTGGATTTTTTTGACACAATAGTGTAAATATATTTTCTCTTCCTTATGATATTTAATATTTTTCTAGCTTTATTATAAGCATACAGTAATAAGTATAGCATATAAAATATATGTTAACTGTTTATGTCACCAGGAAAGTTTCCAGGGAACAATAGGCTATTAATGGTTAAGTTTTGGGAGGGTCAAGATTTCTACTTGGAATTTTGACCAAGCAGGGGTCCGTGCCCCTAACCTCTGTGTTGTTGAAGGATTAACTGTACTGAATGGATTAAAGAGTACACTGTGAAAGCGGGAATTAGTGAATTTAAAGAAATCAGAGTGAGAAAAAAGGACAGGAAATAAGTAGAAATCTGGAAGGTAAAATGAAAAGGTCTAATGGGAGAAAATATAAAAAATAGAGGGCAAGAAATATTCAAAAAGTTCACAGTTGAGAGTTTTTCAAAATCAAAGAAATAGCTTCTCATTTGAAGGAGTAAAATAAATTTCGAACCATGATAGATAAAAAGGAATCCTCATTTTTCTGTCTAAGAGTAACTTCATAATATCCTAACAAAACAACAGTAAAAACTTAAAGGTACCAATGTGAAGACCGTTACTTGCAAAGAAATGATACAAGACAGACTTTCTCAAAAAGAAGTATTATTTCTAACCTGCTGAGGGAAAATAATGGTCAATTTAGAAATCTATACCCAATAAAGCTTGCATGCAAGATTAAAAGCAAAAATAAAGATTTTTGTGGTCCAAAGACTGGGTGAATTTATCCCTTACAGACCTCTGTTTACTAAAAACATACTTCAATAGAAAAAAAATCAAAGAAGGAAGGAATGGATTTCAAAGAGCACAGAAGTTAGTATGTTGGTTTATTTATACAATTGTAGATTATAAATTATAAAAGTGACTAAATGATAAAAATTACTAATACAGGCTTAAAAACAAGACAAAATTCAACTACCAGACAGTAACATGGAAGATGAAAGAAGGCATTCTAAGATTGCTTTATTTTCTGGAGGAGGATATAAATACTGATTAACCTACATATTTAGCATAACTGCTAAAATGAGAGAAATAAACTGTCACTTCTAACCCATTGAGAGAGGGAAAAGGTGTTAAAGCAATTACCCTGACAGAAAGCAAAAATGAAGAAAAAAGAATAAACAAAATACATAGGAAGTTTTACATATATTAATATGTATATGTTAGTGATGGCAAAAATAAGCTCCAATGTATCAGTTTTTACAATAAACAAATTTCGCTTGCATCTTAATATCTATGAGATTACATTTTATTTTAATTAGCCACATACCATGAGCGAAATAACACTTTAAAATTCAAAGTTGATATGTCCTACTCTGCTTTGTAGATGCTATCATTGAAAAATATCAGGGTGAGGAGGTGGCATTGAAAATGACTATGATTTCTCGACTAAGAGACTAGGAATCACATTAACTAAGGATGATAGATGGGGAAGTACCACTTTGGAAGTGAAAATAAGTTAACATTTATTGACTTACTGAGTCTTAACTGGGGACTATCAAGGAACTTCAGGAGCATCAAAGAGAAGAATTTGTGCTGTGTGTCATGGAAGCCCGGACACAGGAGAACTTGGAATGTGTAGTAGGGTGGAAACCCCCCACCCCAAAGATAAAGAGACTTCAGGAAGACAGGAACCATCACAGGTAAAGAAGATGGTCAGCAGTGTCTGTGCTGGAGAAAGGTTGAGCTGAATGAATGCTGAGAAGAAGCTTTAGGTCCAGATTAGTAAGGTAGTGGGCCTACTAGTAAAAGATTAAGGAGGAAAAAGGGAAGACATTGAAGAAACAGAAATGGATTTCTCTCTCAAGAAGTTCAGCACCTAAGGGAAGACAGAATGGATGGTAAAGAGAAATTCAGGCTCAAGGGAAGTTATCTTGGAATAGGCAATAGCCATTTGTAAGAATAAAACCTTAATTATCTAGAGTCCTTGGGGAAATGAGTTTCCTGGGTAACGAGCTTTTCTAGGTGACCTAATGCTGCTTTCTAAAATACCATTACTAATTTTGGCCATTTTTTAAGTACCCAGAGTCACCAGCAATAGCAATATCAGGGTGGTCTCTGGCCTTTAACCAAGGCGATACTCCTTTGTGACTTCATTTAACCTTGTTTTGAGCTCAGTTGTTGCACCCATGGCATCAGGACCTGCCGAGGCCTACAGAAGGATTTCCCTCTTGACTGACTACAGAGTGCTGTTGATAGTTCTTTTATCTGTTTTTCTGAGATCTTTGAGCATCTTTCTTTTCCTATCAGCCATCTTTTATCATAACTTGCCAGAATTTTCTGTCTGGCATGCTCTTGAGCTGGTGTGTTCAGCTCTGACCAATGGATCTACTCTGTATTGACTCAACCAGGTTTCTTGAAAGGCTAATGTTGGGCCCCTGGTCAACCAGCAGGATAGTAAACATCACTCTGATCTTGTTGGCAGCCTTTCCCCGCATGGTCATGTCTCAGATACACAGTTTAACGTACAATCAAGAGTAACCTGGGGCGAGGATCTGAGGGCCTCTTCTGAATATAGTGTAAGCTCCAGTATATGGATTTGGGGGTATTTATTTGGCTCTTTAGCCAAAGGCCTCTCTTGACTCCTTTCTGATTATTTCCTGATTTCAACAGGAGAACCCTCAGGGCTAATTGGCTGCATCTTCTCTCAACTGCAACTTAAAGAGATTTCTGTCTCCACGTGCCTGGGTGGCTCAGTCAGTTAAGTGCCTGACTTCGGTTCAGGTCATGACCTCATAGTTCATGAGTTCAAGCCCCACATCAGGCTCTCTGCTGACAGCATGGAGCCTGCTTGAGATTTTCTCTTCTTACCCTCTCTCTTTCTGTCGGTCCCCCACTCACGCTGGTTCTCTCTCTAAATACATAAACTATAAAAAAAATATTTATTTAAAAGGGATTTGTCTCAAAGCTGATAATTTTCTCAATACGGATAGAAAAAGGTATCTTTCCTACCAACCTACCACCCATCCTCCAGAAGGAAAGGTATTTATTTTGTATTAACTAAAACAGCCTCTCTTCTGTCAGTTGAAGGGTATGCTAGACTTTCCTCTGCTATCTGGGCTGCAAAGACTTGAGTCTCAAAGACTTAATGTCCTAGAATCTTAATCCTGAGATAATTTGCTACAGACCTTAGTCTTAAAAACTGTAATGATGGGCAAGATGGCAGTCTCTTTTAATAAGAGACTCAGTAAATCCACAAGGGATCTTAACAGAAGAAACAGAAGAGCCTTCTGGTGTTCTGAATTCCGTAAAATCACAGTCCTGAGGGCAAGGCAGAGACATTCCAAAGTAGGGAAAAGCCACTAGTAATATCAGGGTGGTCCGTTGTTAAGGGTCCACAGGCTGGCTTCCAAGAAGTTCTTCCTTATGGGGTGACATTTATTATCTTGGTGATTTATCAGAATCTGGCTTTTAGCTTTTCAGGTTCAGAGACTGGTTTAATCAACATACAAAGAACAGATTCATTGCCTGAGCTGGGCTCACCGTAACCAAGCTCACAAGATTGATCTGGAAACCAAAATTCCAGTTGACATTTATATGGAAAAACAGAATTGATTGATCTTCTCAAAGTACAATGACTAGCTCGTTCTTTCCCTTTAGGCAGGCCTACACAGGGAGCCAGATCATAATCAGGCTATTTGGTGAATGTGAAATCAGAGTTAACAGTGAATCATGTTTAACAGCATAGGCTAAGAGAGTAATTCATCCACACTAAATATGGTCCTACCAGTGGAACTGAATCTGTTTGAAGTCTGTCACCTAAGACTCCCTCTGCTCTGATCACTATTTGGACAGACACCTGCCAATGTTATGCCTTGTTTTCTTTAATGTCTCAAGGCCAACACAGGACTACACCCACCAAAATCCCCTCCCACACTGGTCTTTAGATGTTAATACTTTCCATTGACTAATAGCATAGTCATTCTTTTTCCTTAAGTTTAAATCTCCCTGAGCAATCTTATTTTCAAATTCTCGGGGTATCCTCTGCCATACCTACACTTATCCACACGAAGGTTTATCAGTCACTTCCCAAAAACATCTTCACATTTTTATTATATTCCTATGCTACACGTACTACTCATGTTTTATTGAAATCAACTCACTTTTTAAAAACAATTTTAAGGGGCGCCTGGGTGGCTTAGTCGGTTGAGCGTCCGACTTTCGCTTAGGTCATGATCTCGCTGTTCGTGGGTTTGAGCCCCGCGTCGGGCTCTGTGCTGACTGCCAGCTCAGAGCCTGGAGCCTGTTTCAGAGTCTGTGACTCCCTCTCTCTCTGACCCTCCCCTGCTCACGCTGCCTCTCTCTCTCTCTCTCTCCTGGAAATAAATAAAACATTAAAAAAAAAATTTTTTTTAAACAATTTTAAAAGATTGACCCCTACCATAAATGGAAAATGATTGTCCTTTGTCCTAAAAAGAATGTGGCTCCAAAAATAAACACTGAAAACAAAGGCTAATATGTTTCCCATGTACTTTGTCAGCTAGACATACTTTGCCATGCAAAGCTCTGAGCCTGAGCAGACGTTAAAAGGTCAACTCACACCAAACTGAGAGACTCTTTGACATCATCAAACACTTCAAAGGAGGATTCCACAGCAGAACCAATTTAAGGGATTATTTAATGTATGTGGTGCCTTGTCCATCTACCACCTAGAAGAATAACCTCACGTTAGGCATTGCATGGTTCCGGAAAAGATGGCCTAGACTTTTTGAGATGTTAGGCATGTTTCAGAATCGTTTTTACAGCTGTAGTGATGCCTCCTTCCTGGCCTCACTTGACTCCAGACTCTGCCTGATGCCACACTGATGGTTTCATTCCTGCTTTTCCCTGCACAGGTACACGCTGGCAGCTCAGGACCTGGTGATGCGTGCCCGTGGTGTCCTGAAGGACAGAGGATGGCGGATATCTAATGACCGACTGGGCTCAGGAGACGACATTTCTGTATATGTCATTCCTTTAATACATGGGAACAAACTTTCATGAAAACGGCCCAGGGGGTTGGGAGGACAGCAGGAGAGAAAACTGGGACACCTCTTGGCAGGGCAGAACTGGGAAGTGCCCCGGCAGGGTTCCAGGTGACACAACCTCTTCCCAGGCCAGGTGGGGGATTTGCTGCTGAAAGGCCACTGGCTGTACTTTTGGGGGACCCTTAGATTTCAGTTGCCTCTTTAGTAACAGGTCTGGATACTCAACAAGAGCAAAACATAAAGGCTGCTACTGAGTATTGTGTTTCTTTTGGTTCCTTTAATAGTCCTCCTAGGTGGCCACTGCCTAATTTTGGGCACACACATCAGATTTATTTGGAGTAGCTGGGGCAGCCATTTTCAGGTGTAACTGGCAGGAGGCTCTTCCGCCTATCAAGCTGTCAGCTTCTCTACGGGTTAAACGTGCTGCATTGGGAAGCTGGGGATCAAGTCTCAGAAAGTGTAAGCACCCACCTTCTAGTAAGCCTGAGATTTATTTCAGGGAACACTGGTGTGTGTGTGTGTGTGTGTATGTGTGTGTGTGTGTGTGTGTGTGTGTGTGTGTGTGTGTGTGTCTGTCTGTCTGTCTGTCTGCTTTCATGGTTATGGTGGGGTGAAGCAGGGATTTTTTTCTGTTTGATGTTCCTTGAATCTTAATTGTTTCCCTTCCATAAAACAGGCCTGGGACTTTCCAGCTCCTTGCTGAGGAATTTGGTGTGTCAAAGTCCAGCCCAGGCTGTCCCCATACCCCACAGCCCACACCACCCAGGCAGCCTTCTGGAGCAGTGCCCTGGCGGACAGAGCACTGTCTTTGTTGTGTAACAGTTTGTTCCCGAGTTGCATTTTCTCACCATATCAGTGTGTTTTCATGAAAATATGGGTGTTTCTTTAAACCAACAGTTTCTCTGTTGTTTTCAAGGGTCCCCCTTTTGTGGCTAGAGATTCCTCTGAGAATCTAGGTTTTCATTTCTGGGACGGTTGGCCCTCCGCACCTGCTGTGCCTCACGGACACATGTGAAGCAGTGTTTAAGAGAGCACTACAGGAAGCTCCATGCATCGGTCAGTTCCCCATACCTCATGTGATGACCATTCCTCTGTTTTGGATCCAGGTTCTATGGACTGTGACTGTCCGCAAGGCCACTCCACATCAGTACATATCTGTGTACCACCAAGGGGCAGCAGTCCTGCTTCCCCCCCATCTTTGGGCAAGACCCACTCAGAATAGCCCATTGCTAAAAGTGAATTTGAATTGAGTTGACTGGTCATCCTCATGCTGTGTGCCCTATTCCTTCTCCTCGGAATCACATCCCAGCAGCTGAGGCCCCCCCCATTCCCACTGTTGCTCCACTTCCGAGTGTTCCTCACAAGACCTGCAGAAGCCGTGGACAGCACATCTACCTGTTGCTGCTTCCTTGCTGGGAGGAATAACAAAGTCGTGTGTTAGAAATCACCTCTCTTAGGCAGACTGCTGCTCCACACTGAGGAACCCTCAGTGAGGGACATCCCATTACTAAGTCTTCCTGCACACCTCCTGTGGCATCATCACCATCTTGTCAGTCCTGTGTCATTAAAACATTCTTCCCACCCCATAAAGAAAAATGTCATTGATGTGATTCCCCGAACTGCTGGAAAGCCACTTCCAGTTCACATGGTTGTTGAATCCCTTCCCCAGAGGACAGGACAGGAACCTTTCCTCCAGGATAGTTAATCACCTTCTGGAGTTGTAGATATTTTATTAGGAAAGGCCTAGAGCCTCTCTACTCAGGAATGAACTCATTCCACCATGTGGAAAGGATGCCCTGTCAGGCAAGTGAGGAACTATGGGAATTCACCCACCAGTTGTTCGCCAAAATGTTGCCCAGGGAGAATCAACGACTACCTTGTCAAGGGGTCATCTTCATCTGCCAGCCTCCCTCCTCCTCCGGTGGATCTTAGCTACCCCAGATGTCTCTGTGGGGACAAGTTGGTGGTGAACCATCTGCTTCTCTGGCAGAATGTGATGCTATGAGACAACATGCAGGTACCCTACTGCAGTGTCATACACTTTCTGTTCAGGCCCGGACTCAAAGTCTCGTACAGATTGGAAACAAAGTGTTTTGTGGAGGACTCTGAATGGCCTTCTTTGGGAAGCTGCCCTCACAAGCAGTCACCTCTTATCTTCCCATTGCCATTCATCTGTTTCTCTCTTGGGCTTCTAAGTTGGTCCTACCTTGAGCTTTTCTAGTTTTAGTTAACCATCAGAGTCTAACTCTGGGTACAGATGTCATGACAGCCTTCTACTTAATTGACTAATTCATTTACTGCCAAGAAATGTCTCAGGAAAAAAATTCTAGAACACCACCCCCCCCGACTTTTCAATTTATCCTGAAGTCTAGAGCACTTAGTCCTGCTGGTTTTAGTTAGAAAGGTATCCAGGAATTCTTTTCATTAAGACTCCTTGGTGGAAAGATCTTAGTAAAAGGCTGAAGCCCTGTTTCTGTTTGGGAGATGGGAGGAAAATTACAAATGAGGTGAATAAATCATATGTGGAAAAAGCGATTTGTTAATGCCCATAGCACATCCGCCCAGCACTGATATTGCTCTGTGAATTGAGCTTACTCTATTTGGCCTAATTTTTCACCCAGGCCCCATGCCATCCCATCCCACTGCAGTAACTAACTGTGTCTACATGATGGGGCCGGCCCTTGGAGCATTCCTGGAAAGGACAAAAGGCAGCACACTCAAAATTCTGAAGAAGATATTTATAAGCGATTCTGAAATCTTGTGTATCTGACTTCTAGCCAAATCTGTTGTCCTAATGGCCTCAGAGGAAATCTTGTTTAATAAAAAGCTTTCGATTTCCTAGTCAAGTCTTTATGGTTGCCTTGGGGTGTGTGTGGCCACTTCCTCTAATGAAAGGCTCTTTGGGCACTAAATCTCTTTGTTGGCTAGACTCTGCTCTTTGGAATATTTGGGGGACAGTGTTTTTCTGGAAGAGAACAAAGTCACCCTCCATCCACGGCCTGCGGCCCTTTGCCCGGCAACAGCCAAACCTTTGTTCTCGTGACACCTGCAATCAGAGACGGACTGTGTTCTGCAGTGGTTGCGCTCACCAAAATTCAGTTCTCGGGGTGGGAAGGAAGAGGTAGAAATTGGGCAAGGCCTGGTACTCAGCTGTGTACTAGGACAAAGCCACGGAAAGTGGCAATTTCAGTCACTTAACATCGGATACAGCTTTGGGGGGTTTGGGGTGTTTAATTTTTTAATTCTAGCAACTTCACCTCTGTGGGGCTGGGTGCTCACCTTTTTCTTACTCCTGAGTATCCATTTACTTCTTGGGAACAACTATAGTTGTAGGTAGATATTGGTGGGTGGGGATGAGCGTCCTGGTACCTAGATTTGGCCTCAGATCTTGGCCATTTGGGCAGGATTTTCAGTTTACCCAGAGCACTAGATTGGAAACACTTGGAAAAAGAGTCCCACATCTTGAAAATTCTGACTCTCCTCTTGACTGCACCTCCTTCCTTGTCTGCCAGTCTTGTTTTGTTTTTTTTTTTTGTTTTTTTTTGTTTTTTTTTACAAGGCCAAGAGTGGCCAGTGGTTTCTTTCCACCACAGTTTGAGGATCTAACCTTTCCTTAAGTGACCCAGCAGCCCCACACTCTCAGAGGGAATATATTAAGCTTTTATGACATTCTATTTTCAGTAATTACTGCTTCAGGGACACTTGGAGAAAGCAATGAGAGTCATTATCTATGCAAAGAACAACCAACCAGGCTGACCCTAAAATTGACCAGATAGAAGAAAAGAGTAAAACTGTATCTGGCCACAGGACAGAATCTTATGTTAGAAACTTGGGTTTTTGAGGGCTTTTACAATTGTAGAGAAACACTGGAAGTCTGCATACCGTGGCCCACCGTGCTGAACAAAGTTTGGTTTATGGGTGATGTGGCGTCTGTGTGCACACTGGGATGTTTCAAAGGACACTCCCTGAGCAGCCTGATTTGTCTCTTGTGTGAGCACTGAGGCAGCTCTTCGTGAGAGCTGAGTGCCCGTCTGCAGACTACTGCTCTTTCTAATCCATGATGTTTTATGTAAATAGCTTTAATTGTTCCTTAATATCTTCTTAGATGAAGTTCTGTTCATGTAGGAACCAGGTAGAGACAGTGACCAATGAGGCTGTAAAATGTGCTGTTGTTTTCTACTGTGATGTACTTGAAGGACAGCCTTGTGTCCCCCAATCTTTCAATCTTCCTTCCATAGTATTTTGTGTTTGGGGAATCTTGAGGTTATTCTCCATTTTTGTTTTGCCTCCATTTTCTTTGTTTCTTCTGGAGACCCAGGGAGCCCCACAGTGGAGATCATTTGTAAGAAATGTATCATGTTCTGGGTTTCCAAAAATATAGTATGTACAGTGAATGAGAGGAATCTGCCTGAAAATGGTTTCAGAACCAAGTACCTTTATGCTTTGTGATTGTGAAACCTTGACTTTTGTAACCCAAAAAATGAACACTGTTTAGTAAAAGGGATCTATTTTGTGTGTTTTGAAACTTAGGTGCAATGTTCCCTGGAAAAAGCTAAAGAAATGTATATGCTCAATGACATTTTAAAATAAAGTATTATATATATGTATATAGGACACCTTTAGAAAAAGTTTTGTGTTACTTCTTTTAATCTGCTATGAAGTTTCTTCATATCAGGTAATGGAATGAGGAGTGTCATGACCTTATGTGAAGTTTCGAACTGTGAACAGATGCCAAAGAAAATCAAAAGGGAATGGATGCCAACACCATAAACCTTCACAGGAATAGCAGTAAAGGCTATGTATTTCAACAATGCATCTAGAAGAAGCACCTTGGATATTACCCCCAAGAATTGCTCCCAAGAGGTATTCTTTTTTTTTTTAATTGAGGTATAATCAATATACAACATTAAATTAGCTTCCAGTGTTCAACATAATGATTTGGTATATATATTATATTGCAAAATAATCATCACAAAAAAACTGATTAACATCCATCATTGATATTAACAAAATGTTTTTTTCTTGTGATAAGAACTTTTCAGATTTTCAAATATGCAATACAGTATTACAGATAGTCACCATGCTGTATATTACATCGCCATCACTTCGTTCATAACTGCAAGTTTGTATATTTTGACCCTTATCACCCATTTCTCCCACTCCTCACCATCTGCCTCTCCCAACCACCAATCTGTTCTCTGTGCCTGTGAATTTTTTGTTAATTTTTATTTATTTTTTAGATTCCACATATAAGTGAGATCATACGGTATTTATCTTTCTCTAATTTCACTTATAACGTCCTTAAGGACCATCCATGTTGTCACAAATGGCAATATTTCATTATTATGACTGAAGAATAGTGTGTGTGTGTGTGTGTGTGTGTGTGTGTGTTTTCTTTACCCATTCATTGATTCAGTTTTTCCACATCTTGGATATTGTAAATAATGTTGCAGTCATCATGGGGATGCATATATCAGTGTTTTCATTTTCTTTGGATAAATACCCAGAAGTGGAATTGATAGATCAAATGGTAGTTCTATTTTTGATTTTTTGATGAGACTCCATACTGTTTTCCTTAGTGGCTGTGGCAATTTACAATCCCACCAACAGCACACAGGGTCTCCTTTTCACCGTGTCTTTGCCAACACTTGTTATTTCTTGTCATTTTTATAATAACCTTTCTAACAAGTGTGGGGTGGTATCTTACAGTTTTGATTCTTTCCATGTGTCTGTTGGCCATCTGTAGGTCGTCTTTGGAAAAATGCCTATTCAGATTGTCTGCCTATTTTTTAATTGGGTTGCTATTGAATTGTAGGAGTTCTTTATATATTTTGGATATTAACTTCTTTTTTTAAATTTTTTTAAATGTTTTATTTATTTCTAGGGGAGAGAGAGAGAGAGAGAGAGAGAGAGAGAGAGACAGCATGAGCAGGGGAGGGTCAGAGAGAGAGGGAGTGACAGACTCTGAAACAGGCTCCAGGCTCTGAGCTGGCAGTCAGCACAGAGCCTGACGCGGGGCTCGAACCCACGAACCGCGAGATCATGACCTTAGCGAAAGTCGGACGCTTAACCGACTATGCCACCCAAGCGCCCCTGGATATTAACTTCTTACCAGATAAATGAGTCGCAAATATTTTTTCTCATTCAGTAGGCTGCTTTTTCATTTTGTTGATGGTTTCCTTTGCTGTTTAGAGCTTTTCAGTTTGATGTAATTACACTTGTTTATTTTTGCTGTGGATGCCTTTGCTTTTCATGTCAGGTAAAACAAAGCAAAACAAAAAACGTTGCCAAGACCTCTATCAGGTTTACTGCCTATGTTTTCTTTTAGCAGTTTTATGGTTTCAACTTACATTCAAGTCTTTAATCCACTTAGAGTTAATTTTTGTGTATGGTGTAGATAGTCTAGTTTCATTCTTTTACATGTGGCTGTCCAGTTTTCCCAACACCATTTTTTTTTTTTTTTTTAAGAAACTGTCCTTTCCTCCTTGTATATTCTTGGCTCCTTTTTCATAAATTGACTATATATATGTGGGTTTGTTTCAGGGTTCTCTATTCTATTCCATTAATTTTGTCTATTTTTATGTAAATACTATCCTGTTTTGATTTACGATAGCTTTGTATTACAGTTTGAAATCAGGGAGCATGATGCCTCCAGCTTTGTTGTTCTTTCTCAACACTGTTTTGACTATTTGGGGTCTTTTGTGGTTCCTTACAGATTTTAGGACTGTTTGTTCATTTCTGTAAAAAAAATGCTATTAGGATTTTGATAGGAATTGCACTTAATTTGTAAAAAGTTTTAGGTAGTATATAATTCTTCCAATCCATGAACACAGTACACCTTTCCATTTCTTTGTGTCATATTCAGTTTCTTTCATCAGTGTCTTATAATTTTTAGTTATATACTCTTTTGACTCCTTGGTTAAATTTATTGCTAGGAATCTTATTCTTTTTGACATTATAAGCAGGATAGTTTTCTTAATTTCTTTTTTCTGACAGTCTATAATCAGTATATTGAAATGCAAGAGATTTCTATATATTGCTTTTGCATCCTACAGTTTTACTGAATTCACTTATGAGCTCCAGCAGTTTTATGAGGGATTCTTTGGTGTTTTTTAATATATAATGTCATCTGCAAAATGACAGTTTTACCTTTTACTTTATGATTTGAATGCCTTTTATTTCTTTTTCTTACCTAATTGCTATGGCTAGGTCTTCCAATACTGTGCTGAATAAAAGACACAGGAGTACACATCACTTTCTTATTTATAATCTTAGAAGAAAAGGTTTCAGTTTTTACCACCTCATATGATGTTATCTATGGGTTTATCCTATATTGTGTTATTTTATTATTATTTTATTGTGTTGGGGTACATTCCCTCTATAACCTCTTTGTTGAGAGTTTCTAACAAAAATGGATATTGAATTTTGCCAAATGCGTTTTCTTCATCTATTGAGATGATCATGTTTATCCTTTATTTTGTTAATGTGGTATATCACACTGTTTGTGGAAATTAAACCATCCTTGGACCTCTGGAATAAACTGTACATGATTGGGGTGAATGATGCTTTTAATGTATTGTTGAATTTGGTTTGCTAATATTTTTTTGAGAACTTTTGCATCTATGTTCATCAAGAATAAACAAGGTACTTGTTTGTAATTTTCTTTTCTTTTGGTATCCAGATCTGGTTTTGGTATCAAGTAATGCTGGCCTCATACAATTCGTTTGGAAGTATTATGTCCTCTTTTATGGAAGAATTTGAGAAGGATTGGTATTAATTCTTGTTTGAATCTTGGGAAAAATTTACCTATGAAGCCATCTGATCCTAAACTTTTGTTTGTTGGGAGGTTTCCTTACTAGTAATCCGTCTGTTCATATTTCCGATTTCTTTATGATTCAGGTTGTATATTTCTAGGAACTTGTCCATTTCTTCTAGGTTGTCTAATTTGTTGGCATATAATTGTAGTAGTCTCTTATGATCCTTTGTATTTCTGTAATATCAGTTGTGATGTCTCCTCTTTTGTTTCTAATTTTATTGAGTCCTGGCTATTTTTTCTTGGTGAGTCTAGCTACAGGTTTGTCAATTTTGCTTATCTTTTCAAAGAACCAGTTCTGGGTTTCATTGATCTCTTCCATTTTCTTTTTGTCCCTATTTCATTCTTTTCTGCTTTGACCTTTGTTATTTCCTTTTACTAACTTTGAACACTGTTCATTTTCTAATTCCTTGAGATATGTAATTACGTTGAGGTTTTTCTTATTTCTTGAGGGTAGGCATTTATCACTTTGAACCTCCCTTTTGAACTGCTTTTGCTGCATCCTGCAGGTTTTGGTATGTGGTATTTCCATTTTCTTTTGTCTTGAGGTATTTTTTGATTTCCTCTTTGATTTTTTCATTGACCCATTGATTGTTCAATAGTATGTTTAATCTCTATATATTTGTGAATTTTCTAGTTTTCTTCTAATTGATTTCTAATTTCATACCATTGTAGACAGAAAATATGGTTGATATAATTTCAGTCTTAAATTTCTTAAGGCTTGTTTTGTGACCTAACATATGATTTGTCTTAGAGAATGTCCCATGTGCTCTTGCAAAGAACTATATGTTCTGTTGCTTTTGCATGGAATACTCTATATGTAGATCTCTTGAATCCATCTGATTTAACCCATCACTTAAGGCCTATGTTTCCTTATTGATTTTTTTCTAGAGGAGCTATCCATTGATGTAAGTGAGGTATTAAAATCCCTTATTATTATTGTATTACTGTATTATCTCTCCCTTTCAGTCTTTCAATATTTGCTTTATTTAGTTGCTCCTACATTGGATGCATAAATATTTACAAGTGTTCTATCCTCTTGTTGATTGACCCCTTCATCCCAAGAGATATTTTTGAGAGAGCTAGTGAGTTATATACTTGCCTAAGATTATAAAAGTCAAGACTCTCCTTAGTCACTTAAAAATTTTAAGTGCTCACAAAGTGTTAGTAAAATGTTCTGTCTTATAGAGAAAAGTTAACAGATGGGACAACATAGCAAAGAATGCTAATTCTGCTTAGTTCTAGAGTCCAGGAAGTTAAAAGTAATCTAGAAAATAACAGTGTTAAAAATAGCTAAGTATTGATTCACAAAGAAAGCTAAAAGTAGGCTGTAGCTTGTCTAAAGCTTAGTTTGGAAGAGAAGACTAGTTAGAAAACACTGAGAATGGTTTTATTGTAAAATACGTATGATGCCTCTTCCTCCCTACTCAGTCATAGAAACTCATGAAGAGTCAATCCCAGGATTAGATGCCTGAAGGTTGAGATGGAAGAGTCTCTGTGGAAGATGGAGGAGTCTTCGAGCATTCTCTCATGAGCAGTGGTTAGCTTCTCAGATCAGCTCTTTAAAGTTGCAATAGGTTGTCTCCAAAGATGGCTGCCATCTGCCTCCTGTGTCTGTTCACAAATGCTCCTTTTCCCATCACGAGGTGGCATTTGTTTCCCCAGCCCTTGAATCTAGTTTAGATGGTGACTTACTTTGATTAATAGAATGCAGAAGTGACATTCTGAGAATTCCAAATTTAGGTCTCTAGAGGCCTTACAGCACCTGCTTTCACTTTTGGAAGCCAGCCACACTGCAAAT